GTGGGGGGGGGGGGGGGGGAGGGGAAGGGGCTATGACTTTGCTCTGCTCACCAGCGATGTCGACAGTCTTGTCGAGTGAGGATTCCGGCCTCAAGAGAGCCTTGGCTGCCTCCACACCCATGTCACGACACGACACCTGATTGTTGATTGATTCAGGCACACACACAAGAATGAACAAACAGGTGAAGGGCATATATTTTTGTCGGGTTGGTTGGTGGCTCCAGCGACCGGCAATCCACCCACCAGCTGCAGCTTGGTGTCGTCTGAAAGGGCGAAAGGAAAGACCTTCTTCTTCATCACCGCTTTGCGCGTGTAGTCCTTCCATAGCTCCTGTAGACATGACGTGTGTCAGTCATGTCAGCACACCAACATGCCAACATGACTCGGTAAGGTACACAGACCGACAGGACAGACTGGCACATCGGCGTGTCTGTCTGTCTGTCTGGTGTGTCTCTGTATCTGCCCACTTACCTCCATGAACAGTGTCGGCCTGAGTATGGTGAAAGGGATGCCCGAGTTCTTGACGACCTCCTCGATGGCGGCCTTCTGCGTGATGTGGTCGATCTTGAACGGATTGTGGTCCGTGCACGCGTGGCTGTTGAACACGATGTGACGCGCATCTGGTGGGTAGGCAGCACAAAAGCAGGCGCGGCGCGATGATGCCAATATTTATTGGCCCTTCCTTCCGTGTCTGTCCTTCTTTCTGCTGGCCTGGCCCACCCTTCTTCTTGGCTGCGGCGATGAGCGTCTCCGCGCGTGTAATCTCCTCTGGTGGAGGTATCGTCAGATCACTGAATGAACGAACCAATCCAGACAGACAAGACAGCTGCCTGCAGGGCACTGCATGTGTGTGTGTTCTTACGGCGAGGTGGCGTGCAAGTAGACGTATTGGATGCCCTCGAGCGCCTTCTCAACTGTATCCTGACCACGACACGACACCCGACACACAGATACAGTGCGCTCACGACACTGCCGCCACCCCACCCTCACAGGTCGGTCCAGATCCGCTTCGACAAAGTTGATGTGTGGCTTGAGCAGCGGGTCTTCCATCAGCTCCTTGACGGCTGGGCGGTCCACCGACCGCGTCAGGATGGTAATGGGCGTCAGGCCAGAGTCGATCGCTCCCAGCAGCACCTGACGGCCAGTCCGACCTGAGCAGTCAACGACACGACACCCACACATAGGAGCGGTGGTATGACTCTCTCTCTCTCTGTGTGTGTGTGTGTGTGTGTGCTGGTGAGGTCACGTGCCTGTGCATCCGACGAAGAGCACGCCTCCCGTCTTGACCGCGTTGGCGGCCGCGGTCGACGCGTCAAGGGCCGTCGGCAGTTCCCCCTTCATGGCCAGCAGGTAACGGTCAGTCTTTCCCTGAGCCAAAGGCCAACGACACCCGATGACAAACAGCACTGATGGGTGACGCCCACCGACCCACTTGCTTACCCGTCCCAGGAATCTGTCGGCGAACTGGTTGCCGGGGTCGCGGTCGATGACGTACTTGCGGAAGAGCTTATCGCGTGAGCGGAGCTTGGCCCGCTCATTGGGTGATGCGACAGGTTTGGCCTGCTTGACCATTCTGATCCAGTAGTCCACGTATTGCTCCGCCAGGGGAAACGCTTTGCGCTGAACGATGAGAGAGAGATGACCAGCAGAAACCATGACATCTTCTCCCTCCCTGCGCGTGTGTGTGTGTGTGTGTGGATGTTCGGTGTTGCTGACTTTATATTCGTCGAAGTTGTCGAAGCTGGCGCAGACGGATGATGACGACTGGCAGGCTCGCATATAGTTGTCGTCTGGCGGGGAAAAGACAAGACAACAGAAGGAGAGCGCTCAGTCAGGCGGGCACACGTGTGTGCGCATGCCATTCGGCTCACGTACTTGAGACGAAAGGAATGAAGTCCTGCTGGTTCCTTCTGGCCCCGATGCAGGCGTCGTTGATGCCCTGCTGCACCTCCCACAAGTAATCAGGACTGATGGCCTGGTCATACCTGCACCCACACCCACACCCACACCCACACATACACACACACACACACAGTGTTGTGTCACACGCGCGGCTGCGAAAGGTCATGCAGATGATCGATGATGCGATGCGCACCTCGGGACGACGTCGAGGTAGATGAATGGTTTGGGCACGGCAGCAAAGACCAGCCCCAAATGCGGCGCGTGTGTCTTCTCGTTGCACCACATGGTCAAATGGATGTTGTGGAACGCCTCAGCCGGCCGGCCTGAAGAAACACACGACAGACACAGACAGACAGACAGATGGCCGTCCGTGTGTGTGTGTGTGTGTGTGTGCATGGCTGCTCACCGATCCATGACCGCACGCCCCACTCGATCTTATCACCGCGATAGTTCAAGATCTCACCTGACACACACACGGATTGGATCAACCAGCCAAGCCACATGTATCAGCTCTCAGTCAGCAGGCAGACACGCAAATCAACTGAAGCATGCACTGCATCTTGGTTCGTTGGTTCCGACCTACCCAGGCGTGCATCTCCCTCGCCCTTGATCTCTTTGAGGTCGGTGAAGGTCTTGTCCTCGGTGAGCCCCAGCTCCTTCTGTATCTTGTAGAAGAGCTTGTCGCGCATGGCGATCATCTCCTCAAACATCTTGGTGTTGTCCTTCTTGGAGGCCTCGTCATACTCATCCAGCACCTCCCACTTGGGCACCGCAGCACGGTGGTGATCCACGCTCTCAGGCACTGCCACAGAACTCGCCGCCGTCTCCTTGTCGCGCCGTCGCGACAGAAAGAGGGCCGGCATGGCATTCCGGGGGAGAGATGACGATGGTTTGCCCAGTGGCTGGTGGGGGGCCGTACTTGAAGGGGACACCGCAGGGAGCACGGTGAGGAATGCGGATGCGTACGTCAGGAGCAGCATGGCGAATGCCGTGCGGAGCGAGAGGCTGAGGTGAGGCGGCACCATGCTGAAGGCAACGCGATGAGAGGGAGGGACGGTGACGGGTCAGATCTATGCCTGTGCCTTGCGCCAATCGCTCGAAGCGGCGGAAAAGACGAGAAAGACACCAAATTCAGCGCAAGCTTAGCTCGCAGAAGCGGGGCCAAGGAAAGGGGAAGAGGATACAGAGGATACAGCCACATGCTTGTCATAGGCACCGTGACTTGATGTTGTTCATACATTGCGGCTTGGTCGTGTGATTAATAATTGTCTTCCAGTGGTGACTGTCTGATCTGATTGGGGAAGATGGAGTCGATTATGGTGTCGGCGCTTGGCGACAAGTACCCATCCATTGATGGTGCGAACGCAGCACAACCAGAAATGCGCGCATGCCAAAACATATTCATGAATGTGTTCCTGTGTGATTCTGTGCAGCGACTGTCATCCGCGAGGTCTTCCTCGGCTGTGGCAAGAATCTCTCCAAGACGGAGCAGGTGCTCAAGCAAATGCAGCCACAGCCGCCGGCATCAGAGCCTTTCGACGCAGCCACAGAGGAGGCCATCGCAGAGTCTGTGATGCTGCACTCAGCCACCAACGCAACCATGCCGCCGGACCCGCCGCCGGCTGCTGCAACTGAGGCCACCGAGCCGTCTGCGGCTGAGCTGTCTTTTCTGAAGGAATTGCTGGCGTCTGACTGCTCTGAGGGAGTGATCAGCCGGACTTATGCTGGCTGCGGGGGCGACATGAATGAGGTCGTTAGTCGGCTGCTGCCTTCCAGCAATGCTGAGAAAGATGGAGGTGCTGAGGAGTCGGCCGACCATGGCCAGCAGTTGGCTGACACGAGTGGATCACTTCTGTCATTGCTGACGAGAGAGGGGTGCGTTAAGGCTCTTGAAGAGTTTTTCAGGTCGAAGCGTAGCGTCAATCTCTCCCCGACGGACATAGAACGTGAGAAGATGATGGACAATACACAGATGTCTGGTCTGCGTGCGGTGTTCCTCAGATGTGATGGACTGGTGCGGAGGCGACTTTCGTCAATCAGTAGCTGCACTGACAGAGATCCTCGAGGCCAGCCGGTCAGCAACCATCACCGACGACTCATCATCATCAGGCCCGTCATCGTCCGTCTCGAGCCCCCTCTTCCCTTCTGCGGCGCCTTTCCCCGAAGGCATTCCATCGACAGACACGGACGCGCCTCTCGTATCACCGCCGGCCGTGTCTATATCATTGCCGACGAGCCCCGCCATTGATGCGGCGGTCCCGCGTGCCGTCGGGAGCGAGCCGCCCCCGCCATCAGACAGCAAGGAGGACTCCCTGGGCATCTTAGCAGCGCTTTATGGTGACCGGATTGATGAGGACAGCCTCTCCCTGTTCCTCGACGAGCACGAAATGGAGCTGCAGAAGACAATTGAGTTCATCGATTCAACCATTGGGGAGAGGGAGGAGGGGCAGCAGCCAGGGCAAGCATCTGAGAAAGATCTTACTGGCGTTGGGGACAAGTCTGACCAGCAGCTATCTCGGAAAGCCCGTCTGCGTCAAGAGCGGTTCACCAAATCGGCACCGAGGCCCAAACAGCAGTCTCACTCCCCCGTGGCTCCGTCGATCCATAAGCCGTCTCGAGAGCGACATCGCGATGTGACCTACGTCGTGACATCCACTGACCCCCGCACTCCCAATGCCGCGTCAGCCATCAAGACGTCTTCCGATCAGGACAGCTGGCGAGCTGGGCTACCAGCAGCCGACAAATGGAAGGAAGAGCGGCTGAGAGAGCAGTTCCCCCATGTGGACCCGCAGGACATCAAGCAGTGCTTTGAGGGTCTGGGCAAGAACGCAACAGCCACGGAGCAGCATCTTGCGGAGGTATTCGGGCTTATTCCTCACCCAGAAGGGCCTCCAGTCTACCAGGGAGCGGGGGAGAGGGCGGCAGCGGGGTCACCTATATCACCAGAGCCAAAACGGCTGCTTATAGGGAGGGACGACTCTCCGGTTGACGACAGTGACGCTGCTGCTGTGAGGCGGTCGCCGGTGCCGCAGCCGATCAGTGTCTCGCCCGCTGTTCCGGGGAAGCGTGCGCGTCACGTGCTGCGACAGTTCGTCGGGGACTCTACACTGCCATTCGAAGAGACCCCACAGGTGAAATGGAATGACCTGCATACGTATGCAGGCACATTCGCTATCTTGGAATTGTTGATTGCATCAGGGTTTGCGGCAGATCAACTTGCTACAGCTTGATCGGATGCGAGGTGGATACGAGGCGCTGGTCAAGAGCGCCGCCATGCTCAAAAGGTGCGCTGCACCCCACCCCATCTTTTCCATGCAACCGAGCCACACACTTACCCTCTCCAATGTGTGCATGGTCGGTGCAGGAATGCGGCTGCCAGTTTCTCTATGCGCCGTCACGACGAAGCTTACAGGGAGAAAACCATGGCGTCAGAGGCCGACAGCCGGGCTCAGACGGAGCGGGACAGATTGCGTGAGGCTCTGTTCCGCATGGCGGACGAGCTTATCGACGTCCATTCGACACAGCTGAGGGCCATGCACAACGGGCCGGGGGAGGCGGCGGGGGGCGCTGACCGGGGGCTGTTTTATGTGGACCTTCACGGGTTTTATGTGGACGAGGCGGTGGTGTACGTCGAGATGCGAATGGATCGGCTGCAGAAACACATGACGTATGCATGCATCTATCTGTAGGCCTGCCTGCCTGCCTACGTCCATTGTGTTGTGGTGTGTGACTCCGCTCAGAAGTCAACCGCCACCAAATCCAGGCCAGCCGATTCTGATGCACGTTGTCACGGTGAGAAGGAAGATGACGGCAGGGTGACGACGGCGCACACTTCGGTGGTGCTTGTGTATTGTGTATTGTGTATTGTGTGTTGTGTAGGGCCGTGGTTTGCACAGTGAGAAGCACTTGGGGCCGAAGCTGCCCGGCGCCATACAGACATTCCTGGTGCGACATAGACGCACGACAGCCGACGGCCCTGTCACGTCTCTCTGGCTGGCTGGCTGGCTGGCTGTTCAGTTATCGCGTCGGCTGCGGTGGCGTCTGGGCTCCCCTGGTGTGATCCTGGTGAAGGTGCCTTTAGCGTGAACGATACACGTTCATTCCCTCCCTCATGGCTTGACATGAATGACAGACAGAAGTGGGGACTTTTGTATGTATGGGTGTAGTTGGGCCATACCGCATTCGTTGTCCGCCTGCCTTATTTGTTTGAGACAAACATCCATCATGATGCCAGGCAAACCAAACATGTGTGCATCCGTCAAGCAGACTGGCGCAGTCAGACTGGAGCAGTCAGATCAACAGGTAGCAGGCAAGGAAGGGAGCAATATGCACACAGATACACACAGGGTCTTAGCCTAACCGAGTGAGTAAGCCACAGCACAGTGCCACCACCCACACCACACCCCCCTCCCCACCCCACCCGCCATCTACAGCTGCAAAAACCCCCGTTGTGGTCCACAGCCCACTCATTTTATTTCACCAGCAGCAAGGACGAGAAGTTACAGTCTCTGTCGACACAGGCACGGACCATTAACTCAAGCAGCCACCTCATTAACTTGTGGTGGGCTCTCGCTCACACGTTCGGCTGCTGCGGGCCCGGCACCACCACAGGCATCGCTGGTGGCACCACCACACCCCCGTTGTTGGCCATGGCCACGCAGGGGTCCGGGCAGGCCATGGCGCTGGTGTCCAGGATGCACTCATTGCCATCATAGCCGTAGAGGGGCACCTTGACCAGCTTGGCAATGCCCTGGGCTGTGCGGTTGCGGTCATCCGGTGTGCCGAAGAGCATCGATAGGTACCTGTGTGATGACCACACATGTCATGTGAGTGAGCCACGAATGCGATGCGCATATGTGATGTGGTGGCTCGTGAATGAACACAAGGGCGTGTGCTCTCTCATCGCGTGTGTATGTGTCTGTCTGTCTGTCTGTATGTCTGTACCGTTTGTGCAGGTGCAGACAGAGGCAGTGCGTTTCGGGCACGTTCACTTGGTTCTTTTGCAGCTCAGGAGAGGCCTTCCCTGATACACACCCCACCCCACACACACCACACACAGGATAGATATATGGGAGGGAGCAGCAAAGTCAAGTCTGCATTCATTCTGCGGGCCGGCCCCGCTCTCTCCCGCACTCACTGGCGTACCTACCGAGGTGAATTGAGAGCACCTCGTGAATGGGTATGGTGCGGACCCTCCTGCCGCCCTCGATGGTGATTTGCGTGTAGTTTGGATTGGCCAGCAGCTTCCGCGGCTCGATTCGCTGCGGGTGCTTGGCGCTGCACTTGCTGAAACTCAAACCACTGCATGGAGGCAAAAGAGGGAGGGCACTTGAAGTGAAGTGAAGTGCGCTTCGGCGCGTTGGTTGTGCTTTTCCTTTCCTGTGTATACCTGAGTAGTCTCGGTTTGATCCACTCAGCGTCCTCCAACCTCTTCTTCTCGTGATCCTTGACAGCCTGAAGCAGACAGGACACACCCCCACGAACGACTGCAATGACTGACCTGTGTCATGTCAGTCAGTGTTTGGGTGCGGTGCGCACATACCTTGGGAATTGAGCAGCCGAACACCGACGGCTGATAGTTGTACTTAAGCAAATCAGCCTTGGTCTACACACCCACGACCAACGACCAAGGATCAATGCGCACACACGTATCTGTCCCTCCGACACGCCTCCCTGGCTCACCTTCACTACGTAATCTGGCAGCTCGATCCCCTGCGGCAGCAGATCCTCACTCACCATCCTTGGTATCGACTGGTCGGCAGTGGCCGCAGCAGCGGCAGACTTGGGCGTCCTGGCAGGCGACGCGAACGCCACTTCTTTCGCAGGCTGCCCTGCTCCCGACAGCCTCTCTCCTGACCCGCTGCTGGCCGCCGCACCACCATTCCCTGGACTTGGACTGGGTAAAGGTGTCTTCTCCATCATCTTGCGCAGGGCCTGATCGTCCTTCTTGATCTGGCTCCTCTTCTCAAGCGCCGCCCGCCATGACTCGTCACCGAAGTCGACGTAGTAGTCGCATGGGGGGCGTCTGTGCGCCGGTGATGCATCCGTTGAGAGGGCCGCTGCGAGAACCGCCTCCGTGGGCGAGGGCGGGGTGAGGAGCTCGCGAAGTGTTTTGCCGAAAGTCTGCGTGTTGGTGAGCTCGTATTGGAGTGCATCGCTGCCCCTCAGACGGATGGCTGATGTGCCGGGATGGAAGGCCGAGAGCGAAAGGCACTTGCAGGCGTCCATGACCGCCTCCTTGAGGTCTTCCAGCACCTGCTGGACGCGCTCCTCTTTCTTGGCTTCATCGATGTCAGGGCTGAGGTAGTCGAAGTCGAACTGGAGGGGCACCACTGACCCGCTGTCGCGAGCGACGTAGATATTGAGGTGAACGGCCTTGCCCGAACCGGCGTCACCTGTCGCCATCCTCCTTGCGCTTTCTTCTCGTGCTGTCAACTGTTGCTGACACAGAAACCTCCCTTCGCGTTCTCGGCTTAGCTCGCAGGTTGGCCCCCTCCCGGCCCCCACTGCAGTCTCTCCCGAGGCAGTCTCTCCCTCAGGCTTTCTTCTCTCCCTCTTCCCCTCTCCTCTTCTCCTTCGACCATGTCGGGTTTGATGAAGACGTACTTGGACTTCACTGGTGGCAAGCAGGACACACCCACGTCACGTGTTTGTGTCTGTGTGTCCGCGTGTGTGAGAGTGCGGGTTGGTATCTGTCGTGCAGGGGCGCAGGAGATGGAGAGCAAACAGTTCGTGAAGCTGTTCAGGGACACCAAGCTGCTGGACGGCAAATACACACAGACCGACGCCGGTAGACCCGGCAGCCAGAGCACACACTCAGAAGCCGTGCAGTGGTTGTCACTATTACTCTTTCCTGTGCAGATCTTATCTTCACCAAAGTCAAGAGCAAAGGCGCAAAGAGAATCACCTTCGAGCAGTTCAATCTTGCCCTCGGCTTCGTCGCAGAGAAGGTGACTTGGACACACAGACACAAGACACAGCCACGGCACTGACCATCGAGTGGGTCTGTTTGTTTCAGAAAGGATGCGCCCTAGACGCTCTTATTGAGCGTCTGGCGAGCGCTGAGGGCCCCATTCTGACGGGGACGGTGGCTGACAACGTGCGGTTCCACGACGACAAATCGACCTACACGGGTGTCCATCAGCACGGTGGCCCGACGACAATCGACGCTGGACGCAGCAACTATACCGACCTGTCCCAGTTCGCCGACAGATCGAACGCAAATGAGCGCGGTGAGCATGGCGATAGTAAAGCAGATGGGAAGGAAGAGACTGCACTGCCAACACCAATTGGATTGGATTTGTCCATCTGTAGGTGTGAAGGGTCTGCGTGAGGGAGAGGGCGATGCCAAGGCCAGCCCTCCCACACAGGGCCGCAAGGTGGTCGCGGGCAAAGTCGAGGCCGCCGACAAGGGAAAGAAGACATGGGAGACCGAGGTGCTTGAGCACCGGCCGATACACCAAGACAGACAGACACCATCACTGTTGATAATTTGGCTGTTGATCGGCCTGTTTGGTCTGCAGAACCCTGAGCTCGACGCCTGCATCCAGGTGGATACACTGTGATCGTGTCTCCTCCTGCTGTTGCACGTCACCGAATCGATGTTTGCCTGCAGGAGTTCTTCCTCATATTCGACCTGAATGGCAACGGCCACATCAGGTACCCATCAGATGAGCTGCACGTAGACTGACCGACACACGTGCTCGTGTCCTGTTTTAGCGTTGACGAGTACATCAAGGTGAGCGGCAAGCTGGCCCTGGAGGTGCCGCAGCTCCAGAGCGACTACAAACAATTCGACTCGATAGACGTCAACAAGAACGGCATCATCGAATACTCGGAGTGGCACGTACGTGAGGAGAGGACATTCGCCAGCGAGCTCAACATGCACTTGTGCGTTTATTCTGTCAGTCTTATTTCAAGGACGTGCTCCTCCGCGACCCTGCTGCTGCAAAGAAGCTCTGTGCGGCTGCCACCAAGATATCTGGCATGAAAGAGCGAGGCGAGATCAACTTCGAGGACGGAAGTAAGACGCACATCGATAAGAGAGACACGAGGGCTTTACTAAAGTGCACCTTGCTTGTTGGGATATAGGTGCCTCGCTTGGCGCGCTTCACTCGGCCTTTTTGGCCTTCAGCGGGGGTCAGAGCGAGCTGGACGGGCGATCATTTGTCAAGCTGCTCAAGGCAAGGACAGAGAGATATCGGTGGACGAGCTGGCGCGACATTCTTTCTCCCTGCAGGAGACGAAGGTGATTGAGAAGGACTTCAGCACCACCGACGCCGACCTCACATTCGCCAAGGTCAAAAGCGGCCCCGCAGCACGCAAAATCACATTCACAGAGTTCGAGAACGCCCTCATTTTGATTGCCGAAAAGAAGAAAGTCTCAGAGGACGCCATCAGACAGAAGGTGAGAGAAGACAATCATCCACACTGACACATACATGTCTCCGTGAGTATGCCGTTCCATATGGTTGTCATGTCAGATCGAGACCACTCAGGGCCCGACATACAACGCCACCAAGGCTGAGTACACCAAGTTTCACGACGACAAGAGCACGTATACGGGCGTGTACGCACAAGGTGGACCGGAGGCAGTCGCGAAAGGGCAAGGTGAGGAGGCAGATCCAACCGGCTGCAGTCGCCTCAAGATGGGCACCTGCCTTGTTGCTGTATCTCTCTTTGCATTCAGGCTACGTTCCGGGGGCAGGCCCTCTTCAGCAAAAACTCCTCCGCGACCGGACAACCGGCAGCTGACTGCATTAAAATCGATGCATTGCGATTTGCTGCTGCACTGTGCAGAGAGCAGTGCATTCATCGGCTTGCTGTGCACTGCACATCATGGGTCTGCTGTTGTCTGGGAGCTTTTCCAAGGGGACGAGAGGCAGCAGTTACACACCAGTAGTGTAGTGTCTTCACATGGTTGCGTCTCACAGCAAGGGCGAAGCAGTCATATATACATCAGAGACTCTCATTCATTTCCTCGCGTGCTTTGAATGTGGACTGAATGCGACTCCGATCCAGCCTGAAGCATGGTAGGCTCGTTGGCCCCCAGCAAAAATGCGTGTGATGTCCTCAGATGGATGTGCGATGCTTGGGCTCTGACGACGAGGCCAAGACGGGGCGTTTTCGCTTCACGACACGTCCTGCCAGCTCCCTGACGGTGAAAGAAATCATAATTCGTCAGCCACCTTCAATTGATGTTTCTTATTGACTGGCTCGTCCCCTAGCCTCCGCTGTCTTCCCATCGTCTGACTTGGTATGAACGTTCACCGTTCTGACAGCTGCCGTACATGCAATGTTGGGCGAATGCGGCAATCTCATAGGAGATCGCCGATCGCCGCCAGAGGCTGACTCGGCGGATGTCGGAGGCGGCAGCCTGGCGTGTGGCTGAAACGCACCCTCGCCATCGACGCCTCGCATTCTCGTCACAGACTGGAGCAGTGAGCTGTCGATGGACGGTAGTGAGGGGGAAGGCAACGTCTGCGGAACTGCGGCAGAGACGACGGGGCGTTTGTCGGTCGGCGGAGACACGGGGCGTGACCCGCTGTCCTGCAAGGGAGGTTGTGGCCGCCCCACTCTTTCGTCAGGACCGAGAGACGTCGAACAGGGAGCTTGCATCCGCATAATCGAGCCTGGCCCGGCTGCTGGCTGTGAGGGAGGGGATTGCCGAAGGCGCGTCCTCGATTGCGACTGGGAGACCTGACGAAGATCTGCTGTTATGTTATCGAGGATGTCTGCTTTTGCCTTCAGCTGTTCTTCCAATTCATACAGCACTCTTTCCTTGGCCGCTGTGTGCTTCAGCGTGTTCTTCAGCTCGACCACCAGCTCCTTGATCTCTCTCGTCATGTCCTGAAAAGGACACAGATGAGCATGTCTCCCGCCTTCCTCACTGATAGAGCCGTACGCTCCTTACATTGAGTGCTTCCTCACTTCGCAGCATCCTCGGATGCACACGCGACCGTCTCGCCTCCCCTTCCACCTCTCTTGCTCGACTGCTGATCGTCGACTGCAGCAGTCTCGAGTGCACCGACATGACCGATCCCGTTCTGCTCATCCCACCAGCTCTAGGAGGCAGGCGGACGGACGCGTTGGACATTGAGGGGGAGCTCCTGAGGCTTGTACCAGCGTGTGTCCTCCCCGCACCACGTCCCTGTCTCAGTGAAGGATTAATGTCATGCAGCCATTCCGACAGCTTCCGCATCCCTCTCGCCAGGTCTGTCTGCCAGTCCTTCTCCTCCCCCTCCTCATAGCCATCGCCATCGTCATTGTCTCGCCACAGGACGATGGACGGGCCCGCCATATCTGTCTCACCGTCCCTCTCTTGACGATGGAAAGCCGTCCATTCGCCGTCCTCAGCCCCACAGCTGTCTCGCTGCTCCTCTTCACAACGGTCGACAGGAGATGCTGGGCTTTGCGGAGAGGACAGTAAGGAGGGTTTCTGTTGATCATGCGATAACTCGCCAGGCCAGCCGACAGGAGGGATGAAGGGGAAGGAAGGCGAGACAAAGGACGGTACAAACTCTTTCGGGTGGCGCTCGGCGTCCTCTCTTTCTCCACCGGGCTGGAAGAAGAGCAGAGGGATGCTTGTGGATCTAACGCAGACGACAGTAATGAGAGACAGAGACGGCATGCAGCTTTGCAATGGATGGCCACTTGTTTGTCTTGTTGCATCAATTGACTCAAGATGACATACCCGAGGTAGAGCGCGTGCATGAGGCTTTGGCTGAGTCTGCACTGCCGCTGGAGTTCTGCACATAGCAAAGTATGACACAATGGAGACTCTCTGAGGGTCAGCGCAGACACTCCGCGTCTGGATGAACCTTACCTCCCTCCAGGAGGGCGATTCTGTCGACGTCATGAGCCTGCCGAAGCCTGCACACAAACAACGAATGCATGTGGACCGGGGCCATCTTCTCGTGCAGATCCCACTTCCTTTTGCACCGCTCAGCCTTTGGAGCGTCCATCCTGCACTGCTGCGAGCTCAGCTCGCAGGCCCGGCTTGCCTTTCCCGGTGTATTTGTTTTTCTCGGCAAAGGAGACACAACGATGCGCGTTCCATGGCTTGGCTGGCTCTATCGCTTTTGGAACAGTCCTGCCACAGGGGAGACAGAGAGCGAGACAGAGACGGACAGCCGGGACAGGATGCAGGGCACAGCGCAGCAGGACCGCTATGACGGCCACAGCGCCACGCAAGCAGCGCTGCAGCTGAACGTCCAGAAGCACGTGCCCCGGCCCCCGCAGAAAGACAAAGAGAGAGAGGAGTCCGACTCGTCCAACCCCCATCCAGGCGGCCAAGACGGGAGGCTGACAAGTCTGCAACTGAACGTCAAGAGAGGGCAGTCGCAGCAGCAGCGAGGCGGCCAAGAATCTGGAGCTCGAGGGCCGCAGCGCGACAAGAACTCGACCGGTATTGAGAGCGAGTCCGTGTGGGAGACATCTGACGTGTGCAACAATTACGGCGGGGGCAGGACGGGCGAGGCCTGCCGGCGGGGTTGCTGCCGGCGGGATTGGCAGGGGCTGAAGACTGTGACACTGCAGGCCGGCCGCAATGGCCACAAGTTGCAGCAGAGCGGACAGCCGAAGAGTATTCTGAAGAAGACCTTCTCAATGGATCGCTCAAAGAAGACGGTGCGATTCAACGAGAAGGTCCGCACCAACACTGGTGGCGTCTGTCGCTTGAACTACCGGCCCAAGCCCAAGCCCCGTCGGAGGTCTGCTATGAATGTCCGTTCACCAGCAGTGAAACGAGGAGAGAAGAGATCTGCTGAGGACCATGATTTGAGGGCGCTCGAGAGAAGCAAATTCATCAGACTGGAGCCAGTGGTGATGCTTACAAAGATGATGGCGCAGCTGACCATCTACTGAAGGGCCTAGTCCACCCTACGTGCCTGATGGATGTCTGCATGTGTGTGAGGGGCGGACGAATGAGGAGAGACGCGAGCCATATCAATCGAGACACTACTCTTTGATGAATCGCGCACGTACGCACGGAATTGTGCACAAACATGTTGTCACGCAGCAAATTAATCAGCTAGAGGAAGTATGTCAGCGAAACGGCTGTCGTCTCTACGTCAAATGGGCTCTTGGCACCGGCATTTGATCTCCATATCCTGAATTTGATTGCTGTGAGCTGGCAAATACACATTGGGGCGCGTGCACTGTCCACTTACCGACCTCTCTGGCTGCTTGTGAATAAGAACAGTTGAGAGACATATACGGCCCACGCAAGTCATTCTCCTTACATGCAGGCATGCATCTCCATATTTCTCCATGCACTTCAGCACGCTGATGCAAGCGATGTCTTGGCGAGTCTCTGCCACGCCGTCGGCCTCGTGTTATAGTACACACGCGGCTTAGCTATGCAGCGACCGTACCTGCCCAAGTAGGGCTCATTCGTAAGAATGTCATGACCTCTGCGCGCAGACACGCATGGAGTAGATGGATCAGGGCAGTACAGCTGGTGGGATAGAGAATCTCGTACAAATACCTGTCCAGCTGAGCCTTGAAGCGCTCAGGTGATGCGCGATGTATCTGCCTCGCCTCAATCTTGGCTGTCCTCTCGCCCTCAGTGGCCTGAACGCGACATACATGCTCTGTTTCTCACTGGCGTCTCTTTTGTCAAGCCATCCACGCACCGAGCGGGACGCATCGACGTTGTGTCGCATTGAAAACCTGGAAAACGACGTCGTGTCATCCGATTCGAGCGGGTATCCATCCATTCCGTGCTCCCATGTATACGTCTCACCTGGCTTTTCTTGCCCGCAGCGCTTCATCGACATCTGCGAGCAGGTCTAAATTGAAGGCCCTGTGTCCAATCATATCGTAGTGCTCCGATTCCCTGACGGTCAGTCATACAGACACATCCAGTGAGGATGAAAATCTCGCCGGTGTCGTCGGACCTGAAGAGCATGAAGTCTGGTCTTCCCTCCGCTTGTCGCAGCGGGGCACTGCACGTAACCTCCATCTCAATCCTGAGGACAAATGTGTGATCAAGTGGACGACGAGCATGGCATAATCTCTATGCATATCACCTTCTAGCCCTTCTTTCTTCGTCTCTCTCGTTGAAGACGCCCAAGAGGGGATCGAACCTGAAAACACTCGCAGCTCATTACCAGTCATATCACCGAGTCGGTTAGTCATCAGCCTTTTACCTGTTGGTCTTGCGGAATTTTTTCGTCGCCTCAAGAAGCGAAATTGTCTTCTCCATCTGAAATGCATGGCAGAAAGGCCGACCAGTGGAAGCATGTCTGGACGGGACGAGCATCCCCTCACTTACCCGCTCTTTCTCCTCGTTGTGGGCGTAGTACTTGTTGTTGACGATATTGAAATCCCTGATGTTGAAGGGAGGTATGAGCTTGGCCCTAGGCTCCTTTATCGGGTCGGATGGACGTGGCCTGCAGCCCGTCATGGCCAGAGAGGTGTTGTGTTCGTCGTGCGGCCGGTTGGTCACAATGTTGAAGTCAGCGAATGTGTTGAGGAAGCGAGGCGGGGCGTCAGCGCCTCTTGTCATCCGTGGTTTGTCAGGCCGGCGACTCTTTCGACCCGCTAATCCTGCCATGTCTTTCTGTTGACAGAATGGAGACAAGAAGCAGACAGACATGAATGATGAACGCCCTGGCTGCCCATCACTGCACGCGGCGTACCGGAATGGTGCTGAGATGGTCCTTGCCTGGCGGTAGACGTTCCTCGTTCGTCACCACATTGTACCTGCAGCCAACGACCAACACGAGATGAACAGATAGACATCAATCAATCGCCGCCCAGTCACCACCTCCGCTTATTATTACGTGGTTTCCTCCATGAGCTGCTTGTCTCGAGCAGCGTTGAGAGATTGCAGAGTGCGGGCCATCTCACTCATCCTACTCTCTTCCTCCTGAACACATACATAGGAACGGCCCCCATGCATTTTTCTGGTCAGTCACGTCAGTGACTATCGTCATCCACCTGATTTGGGTCTCTGTACAGCTGAAGCAGCGGATTGAACACCTGCTCACGTGCCTTGATGTGAGCTGAAGACACCAAGCAGAGCAGCCCGGTCAAGCCCCGGCGTGTTCATCCATCGTGGCGCCTACCGTGGCTGAACTTCTCTTGCCTCCCCTGGAAGAACTCGTCGGAGCATGCACTGCATTGAGGCAAGCGAACACAGCAAAATCACATGAAGTGTCACTTGTGCGCATCCTTTGTGCGCCGCTTACAGTCGTTTTTCATCATACTGCCGCAGCTCTTCCCCCCACGACGTTTCACACAAATGGGGGAGCGTTTCATCCATCGTGTGGGCGCAGTAGACTCGAGATTCTGACGGAGAACTGGTTCCCGACGCTTGGGGCACCGCCAACGCGAGGATACACCACAATCGATGCTGTTACCTTCTTCGCGCTTGCACGCTTAGCTCGCAGTCTCAAATACAGAGAATTGCGCAGCCTGATATTTGCTCCCCAGATATCCCTGCGCGTGTGTGTGTGTGTGTGTGTGTGGATGTTCGGTGTTGCTGACTTTATATTCGTCGAAGTTGTCGAAGCTGGTGCAGACGGATGATGACGACTGGCAGGCTCGCATATAGTTGTCGTCTGGCGGGGAAAAGACAAGACAACAGAAGGAGAGCGCTCAGTCAGGCGGGCACACGTGTGTGCGCATGCCATTCGGCTCACGTACTTGAGACGAAAGGAATGAAGTCCTGCTGGTTCCTTCTGGCCCCGATGCAGGCGTCGTTGATGCCCTGCTGCACCTCCCACAAGTAATCAGGACTGATGGCCTGGTCATACCTGCACCCACACCCACACCCACACCCACACACATACACACACACACACACAGTGTTGTGTCACACGCGCGGCTGCGAAAG